CTCTCTCCACATGCCATGTGAGCACACAGTGAGAGGGCAGCCATCTGCAAGCTAGGAAGAGTCCTCACCAGGAATCAGACCCTGATGGAACCTTGATCTTAAACTTTCCAGCCTCTGGAACTGTGAGAAAGAAATGTCTATTGTTTAAGCCACCAGCCTGTGGTATTTTATTATGGCAGCCCCAACAGACTGAGGTGTCAAGTTGACTAGGGGTGGACTCTGATGGTCAGCTTTATGTGTCAACTTGACTAGGCTAGCATCCCCAGTTATTCAAATACTAATTTAGGTGTTGCTGTAAAAGTATATTGTGGGTGTGATTCAAATCCACAATCAGATATCTTTAAGTGAGAGAGATTATCCTAGTTAATCTGGGTGGGCCTACTTCAATCAGTTGAAAGGTTTAAACAGCAGAGCTGAGACTTCCCAGATGAAGAAATTCTGCCTGTGGATAGCAGTTTCAGCTCCTGCCAGAGAGTTCCAGCCTACCCTTGCTGACCCGCTGCCAGTGTTGGCTAACCAGCCCCCACAATCCTGTAAGCCAATTCCTTCCAAAAATTGATATAGGCTCCACCTTGTTCTCTGTGCGCCCCACTATTTCCTCCCGTTAGCTCTGTCCTTCACCTCTCCCTCGGAGCTCCATCTACTAGGCTCCAGCCCGGGAGCAGAGGTCTGCCCTAGGCCCCACCCTCCATTAAGGCCGGTCTCTGGACCCTTACCTTTCCCTCCAAGCCCCGCCTCCCAGCACCACCTCTTGGCCCTGAGCCCCACCCAGGCCCCGCCCTCCATCCAAGCCCCACCTCCTGCTCACACCTTCAGCTCCTCCCCCAAGCTCTACGTCTAGGCCTTTATCTCTCCCTGAGTCCTGCCTCCTATGCTCCTCCTCCTGGCCCTGAACTCCAGCCAAAGCCCCACCTCCAGACCGTCACCTCTCACCATCACACTTGAGGCCCTGGCGCACGAGACCGAAGAGCATCTCCCCGCAGTGGTCGCAGAAGGCAGGTGCGCGGTAGGAGTGCACCGTGAGTGCATGCGGACGGATCTGGAAGTCCTCGAAAGTAGCCGAAGCTGCAGGCAGCAGGGAGGGGCAGATGATTGAGCCGGGGCCAGTGGAGGCCATTCCAGCCCCTGCTCCCGGGTTGCTTACAGTCCTCCCAGCTGCAAGGTTTAATTGTTCCTTCCTAAATTCATTTACTCACGTATTACATTCTACCTGGGTTCAAATCCCAGCGCCACCACTGGGCAAAACATCTATGTGCCTATGCCAGGGGCTGGGGGGAAGAGGGGGGGGAGTTGTGGAATGGGTATAGAGTTTCAGTTTTGCAAGATGAAAACCGTTCTGGAGATTGGTTGCACAACAGTGTGAATGTAATTAACACCACTGAACAGTAGACTTAAAAGGTTAAGATTATAAATTTTATTTTATGTATATTTCACCACAATTAAATATTTTTAAATTAAAAAAATACAGACGCCTGTGTCTCACCCTCAGTTTCTGATCAACTTGGTGTAGGGTAGAGCCTGAGCATCAGGAGAAAAAAACAAACACCTGTGTATCTCAGTTTTCTCATCTTTAAAATGGAAATCCAACAAATATTTACTGAGCACTGTTCTAAGCTGTAGCGACACCACATAGAACAAAACAGACAAAATCCCTGCCTAGCCTCTACTAAGGGAGATAGCTAAACAAAATAAAATAAATATTCTTATTTAACAATCACCCAGTCTAGCAGTTGCTCTGTGCCAGGTACTTAAAAATCATAGTAACAAATTTAGCTCTCTCCTGTTATAATCCCCATTTTCTATAAGAGGAGACTGCAGCACAGATAGGTTAAGCAACTTGCCCAAAGTCACACAGCTAGCAAGTTGCAGAACTCACATTCAAACCCAGGCCAGTGTGGCTCTAGAGTTCATACTTACTGCCTCTCTGAAATTTTTAAGTAATAAAATATACAGTAGATTAGAAGTCAATTAGTGCTTAGGAGAAAAGTTAAACAGGGAATGGCAATAGGGAAGATGCGAGAGGTACAATTTTAAATAGGTGGTCGGAGAACTCCTCCTTGAGAAGGTGACATTAAGGCAAAGGCCTAAAGGAGGTAGGATTTGAGCCATGCAGGTGTCTAGGAAAGAACATGCCAGTATCATAATAGTATCTCTGTATAAGGATTAAACGAATATAGGGAAAGCTCTTAAAACACTGCCTGGCACATAGAAAGTGCTCAATAAATGATAGCTATTATTTTGAAAGTTTCATTTTAAGTCTCATTCCTCCCCCCACCCCACGTTTAGTCTAATATTAAGCTATTTTTCTTGTTTATACAATGGAAAGGGGTTCTCTTTAATGAGTCAAGCACTGTTTACTCACTCAAGATAAACCTATAAACAAGACAGATTTACCCCCCACTCTCAGGGAGCTGACATTCTTTTGGGGAGACAGACACAAAACATAAACACATAAATAAACAAGGAAATTTCAGACAATGGAAGATATGGCATTTAAGCTGAGATCCAAATAACAAGAAGGAGCTAGCTATGAGAAGATGGGACGGAGGGAGGGGAGCATTCCAAGCATCAAAAACAGTAAGTGCAAAGGCCCTGAGGTAGGAGGGAGCTTGACTTGTTCAAAGGACAGAGGGCAGGCAAGCATGGCTGGAACAAAAAAAGTAAGGAGGACAGTGTTAAGACATGAATTTGGGGAATTGGCAGGGGCCAGATCGTGAACAGTCTTGAGGCCATGTTGAAGAGTTTGTATTTTATTCCAAGGGTAATGGGGAGCCAAGGGAGGATTCTGAGTGTCATGATCTGACTTAGGTGCTACTGAAATAGTCGAGGCAGGAGGTGATGGTGGCTTGGACCAGTAGAGGTAGTCAGAAACAAATTTAGGAAGTATGTTAATGGTAGGACCAATAGATTTGATGATGGATGAAGTGAAGGGGTAGGAGAAAAAGAGAAGTCAAGGATGCCCCAAGGTTTCGGGCATGATCACCTGGTGAATGGTGATACCATTTATCAAGATGCTAACAACTTCGGGAAGAGCAGGTTTAGAAGGGGAGAATCAATATTACTGTCTTAGACAGGCAATATCTGAGATGTCTAGAGATGCCAAGTAAAAGTGTTACGGAGACAGCTACGTAAACAAGACCAGGTTTTAGGGGAAAGATCAGGATAAAGATAAAAATCTAAGAGTTGCCAGCCTACACGAGGGTATTTAAAACCCAAGTAAGGTCACCAGGGACTTAAATCCTAACTTCTAATTGTCATCCATCCATTCAACAAATTTAATTGAGCACTGCAGTATACAAGGGGAGGTGATGGGGGGAATACAGCCACGAATAAGGCAAATACCTCCCACCCCCCACCCTCCTGAAGGAACCAAGAGCTATAGACTGGTCTAAAATGCTGAGAGCTTCCATCTATAAAGTGGGAATGGCCAGTGGGTAGACTAGATTCTGGCTGAAAATACAAGTGCTCAGGTGTCATCTTACTTTGCAGAATCAGATTTCATTGGGAAGGAGACATGGGCACCAAACATTTAAAACTTTATATCAAAGTCTAATATATATCTAGAAAAGGACACACCAGAAGTGCACAGCTCAATGAATTGCCAAACTGTACACAGTGTCATCAGCATCCTGATGGATAAATGGAAGTTTAAACCAGACCCCAGAAAACTCCTTCGTGCCTCTCACCCAACTCCATCTTCCCCCAAAGGCACCTACTTTCCTGGCTTCTAACACCATGGAGTAATTGTTTCTGTCTTTGTACTTCATAAATGGAATTGCAAGTAATATAGTCAGAGGTCTGGCTTCTGTCTCTTAGCATTAGGTGTGTGAGATTCACCCATGTTGCTGTGGATGGTTTATGTTCAGTGCTGTGCAAATTGCACAGTGTGTGTGCACCACAATTGACCCATTCCAGAGTAGTAGTTTGTAAAAGCTCCCAAGGTGATTCTAATTTGCAGCCAAGGCTTAGAATCACTGGCCCCTCACTTTAAGAAGCAGATTTCTGGGCCCCCCTCCCCTCCAACCCCTCCAGATGCCCCTCCCTCAATTGAGGCTCCGCCCCTAGGCGGGCCTCGCCTCTCACCCGACAGCACCACCTCCACCAGGTCGCCCTCCTGGATGTCTCCGGCGGAGCGCACCAGCTGCAGGAGGTTAGCGGACGTGGGGTCATGTTTGAAGAGCAGGATCTTGTCGTAAAGGCCATAGAAGCCACACTCGGGGAACTGAAGGGCGGGAGAGGGAGGGGGTGACGGAAAAGCTCAGAGCTGCCTTCAGCAGCGGTCTGAAACCCTCCCCGGGCAGGGCCGGCTGTTTCCCCCGGAAACTCAGAGACCCTGCAGCCCTTCGCTTCCTGCCTACTCCCTCCCAAACCCAGCTCGAGCGGGGCAGGGTGCCAGGGCCCCAGGTGTGCTGGGAGAGAGCGCTGGCCAGATTGGCAAACTGGTGTGGGAGGGAGAGTGGCTCTGGAGCATGGGCACCTAGAATTTCCCGGAGGTTGGGGTGGGGGTGGGAGTCTGAGTGAGCACCCCTTTCCTTATGCTCCCCGCCAAGTTTCCTTCCTGAATCTATTGTTGTCCCTGTTACCTGGCTCCAGTCCCAGTATTGGGGCAGGGCTAACTGGAAGGAGGGGATTTAGGACTCTTGGGGGAGGGACAGTGGGGGAGCTGCGGGAAGGCTAGGGCTCAAGGGAGCTGAAGTTAGGAGAGTGCCCCCCCCCATGCCCAAAGGACCCAGGTGTCCGGGTCCCCAGCTTGGGAGGGTGGGGGCAGGAAATGAAACCCGGTAGAACAGAAAGTGAAACAGCCCAGGTGGGGTGGCTGGAAGGAAGGAAAGGGGCCCTACCACACCTGGACAGAGAGGGTAGAAAATAAAACGGGTGAGCATTGGACAAAGAATTTCACCTAGGGAACAAGTCTGCCACCATCCCCTATCCCTCCAGTTTGTTTTCCCAAGGAGCAGGCTAAGTCTGGTGTTGGAGCTGAGCCTGCTAGTTTTGAGGTCTGGGGGGCAAAGGAAGCCCAATGTATTCTTGCCTGCTGGGAGAGGGTCCACAGGTGACCCTGACTGCCTGGGAAGTCTTTCTCTAAATTCTGGTTTCCTTGTATGTAAAATGGGGGAGTTAGCCCAGCTCCTGATGTTTCTCTGGAGCCCAAAGAATTCATTTCCAGGAGTCTGAGAAGATCCTGGAATTTTAAGATTTAGGGATTCCAACTTCCTCACACTAAAGGATTAGACATTTTAGATCCCAATATATTCTCATTATATGTTTTAGGATTTTCAACAACCTAGATGAACAGTAGTCTATTATTTTAATGTTCTAAAAGTCTGACAAACTAGGATTCTAAAATTTGAATACCTTAACACTAAAGGATTGCAACAACCCAGGAATCTCATATTCCAACATTTGAATGTTTTAGTATTTCAACAACCTAGGGTTCTAACGTTTGAACACTTTAATATCAGAGGAGTTCAATAGCCTAACAGTTGCATATTCCAACAATTTAGAATGCTACTATTCTCACGTTTTGACAGTCTAGAATTCCAAAGACAGACAAGCCCACGATTCCTCCAACATTCTAGGATTCAGGAACTGAGTTTCTCCTGATTCCCTCTTGCCATGACCCCCAGCCCCCCTACCCTGGTGACCCTGGTGTCTAAGGTTGGGAGTGGGGTGGAGTTGGGGAAGGCTGGTTTTAACAGGCCAGCATCAGACCTGGGGGGTGGGGACACTATAATTAGGAAACAGGACAGAGTCCACAGAGCCTCTGAAGTTTGGGAAGAGATGCCAGCCCCTCCACAAACATCTCAGGCCTGGGGGAGGGCAGAGATTGGGCTCTGAGACCTCACTTGCCCCTGGCCACTAACACAGGCACCCACACCCACACGTCACCCGATCTGCCACCCCGATCTGCCACGGCCAGCCCGGCTTCAGTTTCTACTGTTTCCACCAAATGGGAGGTTGGGGATGGGCCTCGGCAGGGAAGTTCTCCCCCATCTACTACCCCCACCTGCCCCTTCCTCCTCCCCTCTTCTACACCTAGCCAGCCCCTCCCTTCCTCCCTGCCGGCTGCAGAAAACAACATGCAGGGACTCGCAATTTGGGGAGGCCTCTGGGGCGCTCCACCCTTGCTTAGGCCTCCCTCAAACGGGTAGTGGGGTGAGGAGGCAATTGGAGGCCAATGCCCTACCCCGACCCCTCAGTCTCCCAAGGCTTAGGCCCCCTTCTTCCCCCTCCCCTACGCCAGGCTCCAGGTCGCCTCTGCCAGCGCCCCACTCCTCCAGACCTCTCCCAAAGCTGGATGGGGGGGAACCCTGCGCCCTCACCTTCTGGTCCACGATGGAGCAAGCCAGCTGCTTCACATGGGCCAACTCGGAGGCGGCGGGCAACAGCACGAACTCGCGGGTTAGCCCGATCTGGATGTGGAAGGAGACCCCGGGGCCCGGGCCCGGGGCCGGGACCTGGGGCAGCAGCGGTGGCGGCGACTGTAGCTCCAAGCCGCCGGGGGGTGGAGGAGACGCCGGCCCGGGAGAGCCCGGGAGCCCGGCGGGATGGGAGGGGGCGGCGGCCATGGGGGGAGGCCCAGGACCCGCCGCCCGGCGCCCACCCGGGATCCGGCTGGAGGAGCCCGGAGAACCCGGATCACTGGATCCAAAGGGTCTCGTAAACTGGTGGTGGGCGCGCGGGATCCCGGGGATCCGAGAAGAGAAATCTGGCAGGTTGAGGGGACTGGAGGATGGCGGGACCCTGGGAAATTAGAGAAAAATAATCTGGTGGATCGGACGCCCGAGAATCAAGGAATCACAGACGATCAGAAAAAAGAAATGGTTTGGGGGACCCAGCGATTGAGAAAGTCCAAGAAATCAAAGAAGAAAATCTAGCAGGTCGGGGTCGCGGGGGTTAACAGAGCCCAGGATCCAAAGGCCCCTTGGAGAGAGAAGGGATTGAAAAAGGAGCAGGGGACACCAGAATCCAGTGGCTCTAAGAAGAGGATCCAATTAAGAAGGGGGCCGAGAGACTCACCAGACCTTGAGGTGGAGGGCAGGAATCTCTGAGTCGGGGATCAAGACGGGCCCGGGGATGGGTAGAGGGATCAAGAGGGCCGGGTTGCTAAAGAGGGAATCTCACGGGTCTCGGAAGTTGGAGAAAAGTTCGATCCCGGGCCCGCAGCGAAGGGGGCGTTACCGGCCGTGGTGTGGGGTGGGGCAAGGCGGGGGTCGCCCGGCGCCGGTGGCTCTTTTTCCTTCTCCAAAGTTTAACTCGGCTGCGACGGCCCAGGAGGAAGTGTCCGGAGCGACACCGGAGTCAGCCAATCGGCGCCGGCCTCGGTGACGTCGAGAGGGGGCGGAGTCTGTCGAGGGGCCGGGGGCGGAAGGGAGGGAGGGCCCAGCACCTCCGAGTTGTCAGTCTGGGGAGCCTGGGGTGGGAGATGCGGGCTAGGGAGGCAGGGCCGACTCCTCCACCCAACACACCCGCGTCTGTAAAGTTAACTTTTCCCTGAGCTGGAGAGGGAGGGGCGAGCCACGCTCACCGCCACCACAGGTCGCGGGGACCGGCGCTCAGGAGGCGCCTGGCCCTTGAAGGAAGGGGGCCCTCTTGCTTGGCCTGCATCGTGGCGCCCACTGCGGGGGAAACGGTGGGAAATGGTGTCAAGTCTCTGGTCTAGGCCTCCCTCTTTCAAGAGAGCTGGCTCTGCCCTTACACGCCCCAGCCCCGGGGAGGGGGCACTGCAGAACTCCCCCAGCCCATTCCACAGGTGGGAAGACCGCGGCCTCCAGATGGTCAGGTTCTTGTCTCAGGTCTCTCTCCAGCAACCTTGGGCAAGGTGTGTGGAGTAAACTGAAAGGGCCAGGCCTAGGTTACCTGTGCAGGATAGTCACGCATCAGGGTGGGTGGAAAAGGGGTGTAGTTTCCTTCCCTCAGCTCCCCACTCCACCCCAGTCATCAGGAGGGTGAAGAGCCAAAGGCCTGGGGTGCCTGGAAGGGCCATAGCAACCAGGGAGGACAACACCCCCACACCACACCACTTTGTAGATGGGAGGACTGATTGTTCTCCTGGGGAAATGTGCATTTCTTTCTCTCGGTGTGAGTTTAGGAAAGTGACTTCCCCTCTCTGAGCCTGTTTCTCTGTGTTAGATGGAACAGTAATAGCAGGATCTTTGCGGGGATTAATGAGATTGTATAATGGTGCCTGGAACACAGTAAATGGTGGCTGTCACTATAATTTGCAGGGATACAAGGGTGAGCACCTCAGGCATTCAGGTGGGTGGGTGTGTTCAGTCATCCAGCAAGCATGGGTTGATGGCCTACTGTGGGCCAGGCCTGTCAGAAAACACCTCTTTCAAAAGCATTTCAGACTTGATCTCTCCTCCCCAGCTAATAATAAGAGTGGCTACCATTTAGTTTACATACAGGAAGCTGAACCCTCAGAGACAAAATGACTTGTCAAAGATCACCAAGCCAGTTGCTACCACCCCACCCCACTCTGGAGGTCAAGGCCTGGTTGGAGCTCCAAAGGCTACCCAATAAAGATGGGCCACCTGCCTGCTGGTTGGGGATGAGGGCCACGAAACGAACCCCCCTTCCTGGTAAAGGGTTGTTGGGGGGCAGCTGAGGTCGGTACAGGAGCAATTGTCACCACATCCGGGGGCTGGCTGGGGCTGGGGAAGGAAGTCTGAGGCTGGAGTGAAAACCCAAACCACCTGGGGAAGCTGCTCAGAGCCCAGAGGAATGAGGTGGGGAGGCCACGTGGAGCCCATAGCCAGGCTCTTTCTGTCACCTGATGGCCAGCTGCCCACGTGCTCCCTTTCTTCTTGAAATGCTAACATGTCTGGAGTGTGAAGTTTGCAGGACTTTGTCAAGTGTTCACAGGGGCCCACCAGTTACCAGGCCTTCTTCTGGGCACTGGGGCGCAGCCCTTAACCACCCAGATGGTGCTGGGACTTGCCCAAGGACACTTAGCTGGTAGGTGGAGACCTGAACAAGCAGAGGGAGTGACAAGGGACTAGATACAAATTCTGATGACCTGCTGGAGGCTTTGGGCAAGCTCTTGAGTCACCCCCCATCTCCATCCATCTCATCCTCTGTAAAATGGACGTAATGCTCCCTACTTTTTGAGGTTGTGAGGACCCAGCGAAACTGCGTGTGAAGAGCTTGCCACAGGGTCTGGTTCCTGCTAAGTGCACAGTTGACCACTGCAACTTGGCCGCCTCAGAGAACGGAAGGGATTCATCTGGGCCCCCACATCTACTCCAGGAAGCTCCCAGCATGGTGGAAGTAGATGGGGTGGGAAGGGAGGCCTCACCAACACCCATCACACATAGGCTGGGGGTGGTGTTGAGAAGGGTGTGGAGTCTTGAGCCTCATTGTCACATCATCTGTTTTTGAGGCTCTTCTCCCAGGGGAGGGAGCACTTAGGGACAGAAAGGAGGGGCAGGGGGAGATTCGGTCCTGTGCCCCCACTTCCGTCCCTCCACCCACACCCCTGCCTAAGCTCTGGGCCCCTCTGGCCCCCCTTGCCCTACCACAAAACCCCAACCCATCATATCCCCTCTCCAAGCTCCACCCACCCGCGGCAGAGCTGGTTATTCCTTCCCCAAAGTCCCTGGTCCCCTCAACAATCAGTACCACCGCCCATCTTACTCCAAAGGGTTTATTGAGACAATTTTCACATACAAGTCCAGGACAGAGGGGATGGGGCTTATAAACAGGAATCTGGAAAGGGGGCCTGAGTGCTCAGGATGGAACCCAAAAAAGAGAGTGAAATAAATAGAGGAATAGAGTGGAGGGCCAGGAGAGGAGACTGACAGACTATCACACAGTGATAACAACATGGGGGAGGGGGGGCTTGGGGGGTCCATTAAAATCCCATTTATTTATACAGATATACAGGGAGTTATGGGGGACCCAGGGGACCCCACTCCACCCTCCATGCCCCAGGGAGGGGCAAAAGAAGGCCATCTCTCCCCATGGGTGAGCTGGTGGGGGGTGGAAGGGGCTGCCCTTGGAGGAGTGTTGGGGAGGTAGGGGCGGGCACCTCCCTAGCGGGCATCACCTGCTCCCCAGGCAGTTATTGACCCTGGAGGCATTGGGTAGTGTCTGGAAAGCTGTGTTGAGGGAACTGGAAGGGAGGATGGTGGACTGGGTTTGTTTCCGGGTGGGCCGGGCCTAGCACTCCCACTGAGGATAGCCTGGGTCCAGCTGGCTCCATGGCTCCCAGAAAGACCCAGAGCAGGGGAGCCTGGGGTTCCTCCCAGCAGTTCCCACCCAGGTCTGGGAGGATGGAGAGGAGGGGTCAGGGGTTCAAAGAGAGAACCTGGCACCTTCTGGCATCTTGGAAAAGCTGATCCCCAAGGACACTCAGCTCTGGTTGTGCTACCCCCAGAAGGCAGCTTAGAGACCAGGAGTGGGTGTCAGGGCCGAGAGGAAACTCCCAGAGGCCATCTTAGAGGGTGATTCCTGAAGGAGGCAACTCCCCAGGCTGGCTGCTGGCGGAAGGGCAGACCTGGGGGAGGGCCTCCTGGGGAAACAGCCTTTAGCACCACCAGGCTCCAAGGCAGGCGGGAAGCGGCTGGGCCTCCGGGCCTCCACACTGAGGCTGGGAGTCACCTGTGGGAGACAGAAGGGAGGGGTGACTGAACCACGACCTCCAGGGTGTAAGAAGTAAGGCAGTTCTGGGACCTTCTAGGCCTCCACCCCTCCTCTGAATGCCCAGAGGCTATACAGGGTGCCCAGAGGCTATACAGGGTGCCCAAAGTGTGACTGCTGAACTTGGCACCCTCGGAAGGGCCAGGTGAAGGGGTGTGTTTGAGGGCCTTCTTGTGGGTGAGGATACAGGGGGTTTCTGTCTTCCTGGGCCAAGCCTGCTTCCTGCCCAGCCTCTCACCTCAGTCCTGCCTGCCTGGCCCCATCCCTGGCCAGGGCGGGGCCAGGTGGGCATCATACGAAGACCTTGGCCAGGGCGTCGGCGCCCGCACTGGCGATGAGGGCCTTGCTGGGGTGGCAGGCAACGGCGTGGATGGCCTCCTCGTGCTTCTTGCGGTGCGCCGTGATCTCTTGCACGCACGTTTTGTTGTCCAGGCTCCACAGACGAAGGGAGCAATCGTGGCCTGCGCAGGTGTGGGAGCAGAACAAGTTGTCACCCAGCAGCACCATACCCGCCAGCTCCTTGCTCAGACCCAACCTGTGAACCCCTCAGCTGGCCTCTCCAAAGTCCTCGGAGTCGGGTGGGGGCTCAATCCCTCTCCCACCCACCTCTGCCCAGTTACCTCCTGATGTCCCTGCCTGTCATCCATCCATCTAGTTAACCAAGTGTTTACCGAACACCTACTGCGTACTGGGCCCTGGGGTACAGTGAACAAAATTGGCAAATGTCCCTGGTCCTGTGGTGCTGACATTCCAGTATGGGAGAGACAGTAAATGAGAAAACATAATAAACAATGCCAGGTGGTCAGGAATGCTGTGGGCACACATCAGTCAGTGTGAGGACATAATGGCCAAGGGGGTGGGGAGAAAAGCCTTAGGGGCAGGAGGCACAGCTAGGGGAAGGCACTGGGCACTGACAGGAGGCAGGCATAACTGCAACAGCCTGAGCAGGGGTATGGGGAGGAGGCCAGAGAGCCGGGAGCAGCATTGGGCCTGGCTTTGAGAGCCACGAGCCACTGGAGGGAGATGGCCTGACTGTGTTAGAAGCATCAGGCTGGTGGCGGTGGAGGCTGGCTCTCTTTGTCCCTTTCTGGGGTGATCTGGGCCCTGATCTCTGCTGGGGCTAGATCTCACTCACCATCCCCTCATCTGTCTCCTCGGAGACAGCTGCTATTGTCATGGGGCAGACGGAGAGGATGAAATGGGTCCAAACTCATCCACCCTCCCCACCAATTGCTCGCAACTCTGCGCACTCGCTTGCTGACAGCTCGCTGACACGCCATGAGGCGTGTGGCAGCCCAGCCACCATGGCAGGTCTCTCTGACCACCAACACATACCCTTTACCCCCTGGGGAGCTTCAGCCCCCTTCTCCAACTGCCCAAGTCCCACCCATTCCTTTGAGGCACAGCCCCAGGTCGCTGGGTCTCAGTGCCCTTCACCAGAGAGCAGGGCAGCACTGAATGCTAAACAAGCTTGTGGGGACCGAGCAGATAGACCTAAACTTCAATTCCTGCAACTGGCTGTGCTGTGCCCAAGTTACATAACTTCTGAACCTTAGTTTCCACATTTGTACAATGGGGATAACAGTTCCAACCTCCTAGGGTTATTCAGATTAAATGAGATGATGTAGGAAGTGCCTACAGTGCTTTGCTGTCACCCAGAGGCTCCCTGCCCCTGCTCGGATAACTCATCAGCTTCCCCCACTTGGGCCAGTGCCCAGCCCTGCTGGGGAAGGAGCCAAGAGGGTCCCAACTTACTTCCCGACATCAGGAATACACCACTGGGGTCCACGGCCAGGCAGGTGACGGCATCCAGGTGGGCAACCATGGAGTGCACGCATTTCCCTGAGGGGAGAGGGGCAGCAAGTTAATGTCCCGCTCTCCACCTTGCCTGCAAAGGCGAAGGGACTAGAGGGGACGCTCAGAGCCTCCAACATGGACACCAGCGGTTCTGAGCCTGAGCCTGGTCCATACCTGCCTCCCACAAGCACAGGTGAGTCGGGGAGCCGGGAAGGCTGGGCCTCACCTGTCCGGTTGTCCAGGAAGCGGATGCCTCTGTCGTCATGGGCGGTGATGGTGAGGGGCTGGTTTGGATGACTCACCACTTGGTTGATCTGGGTTGGGCCTAGAAGGAAAGCAGGGAGAGAAGGATGTCGGGAAATCTGGGGACCAGGACAAAGGCAAGAGGAGAAGGACCACGGTCCCACACCCCCGCTTCTGTCTAGATGTCAGGGAGGGCTGGGCACCCAGGCCGCACCCTGCTCTAGGCCACTGTCTCATTGGTACAATGGGCACTGGGGCCTGCCCTAGGGTGGGCAGGAAGGGTGACAGACATTGAGACAGCCTGTCCATGCTCCTCAGTGGGCCGATGGGCGAGTCCCTGACACGCTCCCTCGTCTCAGCCCTCCTGAGACCCTGTGCTGTCCGTTAAGAGCAATAGCTGGGACCTCATCTCCTTCCAGCTCAGAGCCCCAGAGGGGATGGGGAGCCATCTGCAGCTGAGCAAGCCTCGGGTCACAAAAGCCACAGGAGAACTGGGGCCTTGGAGGCATTCAGATCCCAGTCCCCTGCCCCGGGGCCCCCTTACCGCTGCTCCCCCGGGACTCCAGCGTGAGGAGAGCACTCTCAGCCTCCAGGTCATATAGGACTGTGTCGCCAGAGCGGAAGGAGGCCACGATGTGGGCAGGCTCGATGCTGGTGAAGGCCACTGAGGTGGGAATCCCGTGATCTGAGGGTGGAGAGGAGGGTGGAGAGTCTGGCCCTGGGACAGGGGTGCAGGAGTCACCCTCCTCTCTGGGCCTCCAGCTCTGTACAGCTCCTGTGTGAGCCGTCAGGGTCCCCATTGTCCCCATCCCCCCACTCACCGCTGGCTGTGGGGAAGGTACAGAGGCAGGTCGGGCTGCTGCTGCTGGGGTCCCAGATGCGGACAGTGCCGTCGGCAGAGCAGGAGGCCAGGCGTTGGGTCGTGGGACTAAAGGCCAGGCCCCACACAGCGTCCCCATGGCCCTCCAGCACGTGGCTCAACATGCTCGGGTCTAGACCAACCAAAGGAAAGATGGACTGTGTTAGGGCTGCCAGCCCCATCCTGGACAGCCTGGGAGCACCATCTCTGCCACCCATTCAACCAGCTTTATACCCATAATTGTCATGCCCTCAGAGCTGTCACCACTGCAACCGCCCTGGCGGCTGTTCATACTGACCACCAGCTCCTTTTGGAATATATTAGGGCTCTGAAGGCAGCCCAGCAGGGAAGCTGCAGAGGGTGGGGATGTCCCTATGTTCCTTGCTGTCCTCCCAGGCCCACAATAGTGCCTGGCAAAAAGTGGGCACTCAATACACAATTTTTAGGACTTAGGGGAGAAGGAACAATGACGACTCTTCACAGTCTGGGTTCTGTGGTTTGGCCCTGCCCTTAGTCCCAGCAGTCTTTTCTGCCCCCATACACCAGCCTTGCCCAATCACTCCAAAAGGTCATTCCCACCATTGCCTCCCTGCTCACTTGAGTTCACATGAGGGACTCTGGTTGGGCCCTGCTGACGCTCACTGTGTGGCAGCTCGTTTGGCTCAGAGCACATTCTGCCAGGGACTGACCCCTGACCTTTCACAGGGTGAGACTGCTCTCTGGAAAATGGTGTTATGTTCCTTTGATGCAGACGCAGACCTCTAAACTCTGCCATGACAGGATGCTGCATGAAGCCATGTGTGTGATCAAAAGGGTTATCAACAGAGGTGTCAGAGGATAAGGGGACAGACACAGAACAGAGGTGACAGTCTGGTCACTTCACTTAACTTTTTTTTTTTTTTTTTTGCTGAGCCAGTGACCCTGTTGCTCAGAGCTTGCACTCTTGAGCGAGATCTTAACCAACTGAGCCACTCGGTCGGCCCATGATTTTTTTTTTTAATTGGGGAATTGAAACAGTGTTGGGAAATTGGGGAAGGGGAACAGCCAAGTTGCTGTCCTCCAATCTTAGTTGTGGAGGGCAGAGCAAGCTCAGCTCCAAGTCCAGTTGCCATCCAGCCGCCCCTCTGCAGCTCAGCTCAAGGTGCCATGTTCAATCTTAGTTGCGGGTGGGCATAGCCCACCATCCCATGCAGGAGTTGAACCAGCAACCTTGTTAATAGGAGCACACGCTCTCACCAGCTGAGCCATCCTGCCACCTGTTGGCAGCTCAGCTCGGGTGCAGCATCACTGGCTCATGTGGGAATCAAACCAGCAACCCTGTTGCTCAGAGCTCGCACTCTTAACCAACTGAGCCATTCAGCCAGCTCAGCTCCTCCACTTAACTCTTAAAGGTGCCCCAAAGATGAAACACAAACTCTCTTACGAGCTGGCCCAGCTAACTTCTCCTATCTCACCTGTTGTACTTTCTCCTCACCCACTCCCCCAACCACATAAAGGCACTGGCTGAGCCTGAGCGCTGTGCCAGCAGGGCCCACCTTCCATAGGCTGACCCCGGCCCTAATGCTGATTCTGAGTTAGCTTAACCATCAGCTCATCTTGCCTGACCCGCAGTGATGTGCTGAGTCATGCTGTTCTATGCTTAAGCAAACTGAGTGTCCTTGGTGTTCCCCCCAATACCTGCAGCGTCAGGTATAGGCAGATGCTGTATGTGCTGAGGGAAGGAAGCAGCCCCAGTGCATGATGGGTGGGCGAAAGGGAGGGAGGGAGAGGGCACTGTCTCACCGTAACCATCGTAGGGGTCCATGTTGAGGTCTGGGATCTTCCAGCTGTGGATGCGGGCATCTGCCCCACCACTGTAACAATACTCGCTGTTGCTGCCCATGGCTACTGCCAACACGGGGCCCCTAGAGGATACAAAGGGGGAGATGAAAAACTCAGTGCTTGTCTCTTCCCCAGTCCCTCCCTGGGAACCCTGAAGTTTTTTCTCTACCAGCATTTTCCAAGGATGGCCAAAAGGAATTCAGCATTTGGGGCTCTTGTGCCACTGGGCAAGTAGCCTGTCCCCTGCCCTCCCCCCACCCTCCAGGTCTGTTTCCTCCTCCAAAGGCTGTGCTGAGAGCCAGCTGAAAGTGGGCACTGAAAGCGTGCAGAGCACCAGGAGCCAGGGGGGCGTGTGTGCAGAAGGTCCCAGGGACTCGAGCCCTCCTGCTGCCCTGCCTCCCACCATCGGCCCCCTGGGATGGCAGTGAGCACCAGGGGTCAGCCTGCCTTTGGGGCATCTCCCTACCTGTGAGCCCGGAAGGCGTGGATAGGTTCTACATCTAGTGCAGCATTCCTGTGGGGAGACAGATGTCACCCAGAGCTCCTTGTTGCCCAGTACCCTGGGCCCAGATACCCCCTACCCCAGCCCTCTAGCCCAGAGTCGCTGCCCTCACTTCTTGGCTGTGACAGCCTTCTGCAGGTTCCAGAGCTTAAGTGTGCCGTCCTCGGAAGCAGTGAGCAAAGCCGACTGGCTGTGGTGGAAGGCCAAGGCGCGGATGCCGTCGTAGTGTGAGCGGAGGGTGAATTTGGGGTTCCATGTCTTCTTAAAGGCATCTTTGCTGTCTGACAACTGGTGGGGGGGAGCTGCCTCAGGTCTTCTCTTCCACCCAAGCAGTCCCGCAGACACTGATATCTAGGACTTCAAGAATTTGTCCCTCCCCCACCCCAGACCCCCGTGGGGCAACCCCCAGGCTAGCCTCCAGACCTGGACACTAGCCCCTTCCTCCTGGCCCAGCAATGTTCCCCCTACTCACTCAACAAGTTCCTATAGTGTGCAGGGACTGTAGGAGACAGGTTCTGGGGAGACAAAGGTGAGTCCAAACCCCTAGGATCTCCCAGTTCAGAGGGGGCTGGAGGGAGACACTCAGATCGTGCCATCAGTGCACAGGCTGATGAACTGTGAGCAGTGTTATGAATTAGAAATGCACTGGGAGGAGGCACCCACAGCCTTACTGCCTCTGTGGGGGTCAACAAGGCTTTCCTGAGCAAGTGGCACATGAGTAGGTGCTAACCAGACAGGGGAGGGGACTGAGGAAGCAAAGTGCATGTGCAAAGTCCCTGAGGCAGGAGGCAGCAGGGGAGGGTCCTGGGATGCAGAAAAACGGGGAAGAGTAGCAGAGGGTGAGGCCACACAGGCCAACGAGGCCCCAGTGAGCCACGTTCAGGAACCTGCATCTCATCCTAAGCGAAATGGGGGGCCATGGGAGGGTTTAGAGCAGTGAAATGACAGGTTTGTTGCAGCCATCCCAGGGGAGGCTTGGATTGGGGAAGATAAGAGTGGCTACAGAGAGAAGAGTTCAGAGAGACAGGTTAAGAGATCCTGAGGGAAGGAAGTCTCTCTGGAAAGAGAAGGGCATTTAGACATGATGCTGGGGCAGGGAGATGGGGACAAGTACACACGGTGGGGAGAAACAGGGACACTGCACATGCCCTAGGGTGTCGTTCTCCGAGTGCAGACCCAGGGAGGGCCACTCGGGGAAAAAGCAGACTATCAAGCAAGCCTCAGTGCCCTGCCCCAAAATGAGGTTCACATCTGACAAACCCTTTCATCTAGGCTCTGTCTCCCAAAGTTCCTGCCTCAGCTGTCACTTCTGGCACATTCTTTAGGGCCAGAGAATCTGCTGTTGTGTGGTGACCCTCTCACTTGCACAAACCACAGGCAGGGGTCATACTCAGGCAGCTCCCCTGCTCAAAGCATCCACTCCGGCCTCCCTTCCCAGCGTCCCACAGCAGTGCCCCTGACCTCGCTGAGACCACCAACCATCTATCCTGCTAAATAAAAGCTGTGGGAAGTATTCTGCCACAGGAAAATGCACACACGCAGAGTTAAGAGATTCTCAGATAGCCAGAGGCCTCTTCATGTCTCAGGCTTGAACACTGGCCCCAAGGTCTCCTTTTGTTCCAGCCCAACTGCCCTCCCCAGCCCCCATACACACCAGACTAGCCTGATTTTTTGGTTGCTGGCTGGAGGCCATCAGCTCAATTCCCACCTCCTGCACAGACTGTCTTACCCTCACTGCCACCAGCCCAGAGCCCCCTCCCTCCTCTGATGCTGTATTTCAATTCGGTTCCCCCTTCGCCCCGCCCCCAGCAGTGGTGGGTCCTGGACTTGAGATGCCCATAAGTTGAGGCAGGAGGAGCGTCATCTGAAGAGCCTGGCACCGTCATTAAGACACAGGCTCCAGAGTCTTCTAGGCCCTGCACCTTGGTGACCCTGTGAAGTCCCTCAAACTGTCTGCATCGGCACCCCTTGTCCTCATGGGTAAGGGACTGAGCACA